CTCTTATTATTACTAAAGAAATAAGAGAAAAACACAAGCACGCAGGTTTCTCAAATCATAACAGGAAAGTAGCAGTTTGATACACTTTGTATACTCTCAGCATTCAGATTGCAGTTTACAAAGCTTTTCAGTCCAGTGGAGAATATGAAGATTATCTGTGCCATATTAATACAAGATATTGCCCCTACTGAGACAAGCTTGAGTTGGTCAAAAAAACTGAATAATATTTTCATTTGAACTTCCATAAAGTTTCAATACTTTTCTATCTACTCTTAAAAAAAGAAATAGGCATATTCAGTTAGAATCAGGGTCCATCTACTCCAGCATCCTGTCTCTGACCTTAACTAACACTGATCCATGAGGAAGATGTAAGAAATCCTTCAAGAGGAATTTATAGGATAAAGAGGAATTTATAGGATAAATAGGAATTTATAAGATAAGCAGTTTCATGATGTATTTTGATCTTCAAGCCTTCATGTCTTGGCACTAGCACTGGAGCCTGTCTTACAGTAGGACACAAACTAAATTACCCCTCCCAGAACACATGCCTGTATTTAGTATTAAGAACTTCAGTTTTTAATGTTTCTGAATGTATATTATCAGTCTTTTTCTGACACTATTTATATCACATTCTCAAGATAACCTTAGTAAAGTACTTTGAGATTAATTGCAAGCTATATGAAAGAGACTTCTAGTTCATTCATTTCAAATCTGAACATTTTTCAGTTTCATCAACCATACAAGCACTATTTTCATGAGACAAGATGATCATCAGAATCTAAAATACTTTTGCCGAAGTCTTCTTTATAGTGTATATTTCTATAGTATCTTCCTTTATTCATGTCCCACACCATAAATATTCAAATTTGTCAGTGGGCAGCGTTTTGGAAGATTTTTTCTCCTGGGAACTGTTATGACAAATCACAAGGAGCCAAAGACTTGGTAAAAAAGCATGTTAGGGAAAAAAAATATAGAGGCAACAGCTTGAATTTTCTTATTCTTAAAAAGGCAAGAGGTGAGTAAAACGTGAGTCTGTTTTGAGCCTATTCCAGATTTAGAGTGAAAGTGTCTCTTGAACACCTGGAATCACAGCTGCTGAAGCAACGTGTATAAGGGGCACCATATAGCCCCTTCCATAGTCAACCAGTGAAATGGCCAGATAGGAGAGGATTAAATCGACTACATTCAGATCTGGGCCTGTTATCTTCCCATATCTCTGAGGTGATCTCAGAAATGATTCAAATTTTACACTTCATAAATCAAGGGCAGCTCCAGTCAAGCCAACCAGCTTCGTAATGCTGGTTGGCTTGAATGAAACCTTCCTACTCAAGTCCTCAGTTTCTGCTCATTCAGACCATATGTTCCCTCTACATTACAGACCAGATGTCACCATTGCTTCTTTTTGCTTTTGTACTCAGAAAAAAAATGGATATGTATATCATTATTTTTTTTTCAGTGTGATCATTATGCTCTTACCCTTAAAATGTAAAAAAAAAAAAAAAAAAAAAAAAAGAAAGAAAAAATGTATTCTGACCATTTCCTGAGAGGATTATTTAATATCTGGTCTGGTTTCTCTGCATCCTTCAATAGGTCCCTTTGCAAAACTGAAATCACATCCAGAAACTAAGGACACCACATTTGTTTATGTTAAGCTCTATGATCTGAGCCAACACATTATCTGTGTTGAGGTGATAATTTACAGTTTATATGACACGCACATAAAAACTGCACATATAAACTGGAGGAGGAAGAAAATCATGTCACTTTCTGACGTCCCTCACAAGTTGTCCAGGAGCCAGAAGGGTTAAGTCCTCTGTGTTAGGCGTTCCTGTGTTGTCAAGGCCACTCCACCCCCTCCTCATCATCCACCAATCTAGCCTCTACTTACTTATTTATACTTCCAAAAAAAATCAGATTGTTTTATGAGTCTGGAACAAACTCCAAGGCGAAAGTTTTATTTCTTTTGTATCAATCAGGGCCATATCTTGCCTACCACATCACACGCAGTTTATATACTTTTTAGGACGCCAGCTTGCAATTTATTTGTGTGCAAAGTACAGCACACAATTGAAACATGGCCAAAACAGCTGGTGCTCACAGTGATGTTTCACAGAAATAAGAACTTAGTTCAGTTTAAATAAATATTAAAACTGTGAACTTATTTATTTTCAAAGTATTACTCCATGGCATCATTGTCTACAGTTTTCAGTGGCAGGACAAAACTCACCCTCATTTGAGCTGGCCATCCTCAGCTCGCTTTACTGAGAAATACTCACTTATAAGTCACAACTCACCCAATTTAATTTAAACATCTGCTTCAAGGTGACAAAAATTGAAGCTGTTTGTTTGTCTGTTTCAGTTTTAGTAGCAATTTTTTTTTTCTCCACTGGCTGTAAAATGTCTCTGATAAGTACTCTGGATGTAGAAGTTTAATGTATAGGCACCTAAAACCAGGTAAATGAACCAATTACTACAGTATTGAAGTCAGGTTTAAGTTCCTATTATTAACAGCTGTGCTGGAAGGAAAGACTGTGAGCACAAAGATGGCCCAACAATCCTATTGACTGGAATACACTGATTTTCTTTTTTTGGGGGTGGGGTAGCAGTTGAGGACCTTATTCCCTCAAGAGGATTAGATCTTAGATCTGCTCTCTAGTTTCTTTCTCCCATGGAGAAAATCTGTTGAGTTTGGTAAGAGGACCAGGCAGATATAATTTCCAGTCTAGTTCACAGTTTCCAGAGCTCCAAACAGAACACACAAGGCTCAGGCAGAGGTGTAAAACCTTTTCTAATTTTAATTTGAAGATTTTCTTTTCTTGCCTTTTGCTGTTCTATGTCATTGTCAGGGGGTTTTGTGACAGGTTTCAAATAAAATATTCAGGCAGTAGGATTTTTTCTATTTTCTTATCTTTACTTCTGGAAACTTTCCTAAACCAAACCTTTACTTCCACATAAATAATAACTGTAAAGAGATAATAGCTCTTGATCTGAGACACAAAAGCAGCTTAATATATAAAAACGACCTTCTTCAACAGCTCAGCAGATGCTAATCTTGAAAGGGGCTTCTATTCTCCCCAGTTTCCACAACTATTCAAACAAATTCTGCTTAGAAAAGCAGTAACGTCAAGTTCCAGCTGAGGTCCTGGGTTCTGTTCTCCTTTGAATTTGAGAGACTCTCACCGGCTTTCAAAGCACCTCCATTTTTTTCTCTATTTCTGCTCTGTCTATAAGCCTTGGTGGCCTGCAGGGAAGAGGTCAGGCAGTCCCAGTGTGGTGGGGTGGCTCATGTCTGGCTGCTGGGGGATGGCTCCTCTGCAGTTGGTGCCATACAGCACTTCTCCATTCTCCTCTGCAGCCCCAGCATGCCCAGAAACATAACGGGCTTGGGACCTGGGGTGCCATTGGAAATATTCAGAACAAGAAGAGAGGCAGGTTACAGTCTGCCAGAGTGCTGCATGTGCAGCACCATGCTGAAGGTGGAGGTGGCATGGTGAACGTGATCTCTGGGAAGAAGTGTGGGAGCAAATTTCCATTGACCTTCCTGGCAGTGGGGACGTCTTTCAGCTCCCAGGAGTGGGGCCAGAGTTTCAGGCATTGACCGAGATTTCTGTGCCTCTCCTTTCTGTGCCTTTGTCCATCTCAAGGAAAGTTGGCACCCAAATAGAGGTAGGGAAACCAGAGGTAAATTTGAAAAAGCAAGATCTTAAATCTGTGAAATGCAAAATACAGGCTATGGCATATTATCCCTGGTCCCTATCAGGCTGAGCTATAAATCTTCACAGTGATAGAGTTTTTCTCCAGACAATTAAACTTTCCAAGCTTCAGGATAGGACTAAGTTGGGCCGAACTTCTCGTCTTTTATTCAGAAAACCTAGGCTCAATGATAATTAACCTTTTCACTGCCTCCTAAAGGGAAGCTGCCCTCAGCTCCCCATGCAGTCACCTAAGGGCTGTCGCCATGCACTCTCGCTGCTGTTTTTGCCAGCAGGAGGCTATCGCAGTGGGTGGGAAGGTAGCCCTGTCCCCACTGTTCCCTCTGGGCCCTGGCTGGAGGAGCAGGCTGTGCAGGAGTGGGGAGTAAGAAAGGAAGCAGGTGCAAAGTAAATTGTTTCTGACCCATTTCCTGAGGTGCAAATGCTGCTACGACTAACACGATACTCTGGAGGGAAGCCAAAGTCTATCTGTTGTTTAGATAAAGGCATTACTGGATCATAAATTAAAGATGAGCAGAGGTAGAAAAGTGCACCCAAAAGATAAAAATTATGCCTCCCACTCTATTTTAACTTTGCCTTTCAGATCTGGAAGAGAAGCTCAGTTCTATATTATGTTTCCTGGCTCTTCTCCATGAGGTGAATGTACGAATTCTCAGCAGAGCCAGCTCTCTTCCCTACAAAAAGTGTAGCAAATGCTACCTTACCGACAGGGCTTTACCAAGTTCTTCAGAAGGGCATTGAAGGGATAAGAGATGATCTATGGCAAATTTGCATTTTTTCCAAACTGTGGCAGATGGCAGCATCAGTCCATTTTGCATAGGCTTGTTTTTCTCTTGCACTTTCTGCTGTTCACATCATGGGCTTTGGAAAACATTTTGCGTATTGTTTACTGTCTGTTGTGATTCATTTGAGTAAATTAATCCCTGTCATTTAAATGTTATTAGCTTTACAAAATCTGTTTGGAAAGTCTGTAATCAGTTTGTTCCATTCACTGAGAAGCCCTCAGTTAAAATATTTATGCCCCAGATTTCCTCTTTTGTCAAAAGTATTTGACACCGTCCAGTGAGGTAAACAATAATCTGCAAAGAGAAAAGCAGTGATGAGTCCTGTCCCGTGGATTCACAGCCAAAATTAAATCCTCTCTTCAGGTGCTTTCAGGATCCAGCTCTTGTTTGGCAGTTCTTGCCAAGCCTCACCACTCTCACTGACAGAAGTTCAGATGATAGTCATTGGCACTGAGAAGGTTTGCACTGTGATTTGCACTTTCCATGAGATACGAAGGGCAAATGAACCGTACATAATCTGACCGAACCTATGCCCCAGTTCTGCAACTGGCTATGCAAGCAAATGCCTGAACCTTCCCGCCAGCTTCGGGGATTTCTTGCAGAATCCTTCCCAAGCTGGACCTGTTGCATTGCTCTGCAGGTTTCCCACCTCCAGCCACACTACTTCGTAGCAGAAGAACACGGGGCAGAGGAACCAACACAAGACCGGTGTCAAGACATTTGCTCATGTGCTGCCTCTGCATCATGAGCTACACCACATGCAAGTCTCCATGCTCTGTTTTTCCAGTTGCTCAGAGGCTGCCCAAAGAGCATGGAACTGGCTGGCTTAGCTTACAAAAGGTCATGAAACACATTAAATGAGCAACTACAAATCACATAATGAATGGGACACTGTCAGAAGCTGTAGTTCGTGTCTTTCTGCCCATCTGCCAGAGATGAAATCAAAATACGACCCATATTTTATTTCCTGGCTAATTAAAGAGTGTACATTTTTCTCTTAATTAACTGTCAGTTCCTTTCTTTTAAAATGTCCCTTACCGTTTCAGAATTAATACTTTTACTAAGATTTCATGATTTTTAAGTCTGAATGGACACTAGGGAGGGTTATAGTTAGTACAACAGGAATCTAAAACATCTGCGTGTCTTCATAGATACAAAATTCTGTGTTCCAGACAGTTATTTTTAATATGTGCTACTTATTCATGTATCAATCAAATCTCAACATTCCCCTTCTGCAGGTGCTGGAGAGTCAGGAAAGAGCACTATTGTAAAGCAAATGAAGTAAGTATATGAATATTCATATCAGTTGTTGAATTTGGTATTTGTAGTATAAGCTATCTAGCTAATGTCTTATTATGATATTTATGCTTATTTGAATAAAATGCAAAGAAACATCATTCAAATCAAGTACTCATTCAACCACATACAGAAAAACACAAAGTGACTAAGACACACAGCTGGATTGGTAATCAAATCCATCTGATCAAATCATGCACTGGTCCAACTCCTTACTGAAGACCTGGGGACCTTCTTCATTGGCTTTGGTAGGAGTTACAGTACTGTAGTGAGAACATGAACGTATGAGACAACCAGGCATGGCAGGTCCACCTAGGCTCATCTCTTGTTTCCTGCAGTAGCTAATGAAGGATGCTAGCAGAAGACCAGACAAGCAAACACACAGTAATACTTAAGCTGAATACCCTGACCATATCTGCTGATCCATGACCCAGGCACAATCCTGAACCAGAGAGGGCATCGCTCTGTTTAGTAGCCCTCAGTTAATTCATGACTACGTTTCTCCTGAATCTTTTTTTTTAACCAATGTAAACTAATAACCTCCACAATATTCTACAGCAAGTAGCTCCACAGTTTAATTACATCTGATGTGAAGATAAAATATTGAAGGATTCACATTGCACAACAGTGCAAAGTCTTTTTTTTTTTTTTCTCCAAACTGACATCTGTAGATCATTCTTGGTCTCCACAGTCTTATTCCAGCTCCTGCCAGAGGTCAGAAAGATTGTTCTCAGGTCTCCCACAGGCCAGGTGAGAGCATATTTAGCCACCAGCCTACACAGTGAGCACCTGCTGCCCACTAGCGTGGGTAGGGACAGTCATGAGAACTGCTTTTAGCAAGAAAAGTACCACCCCAAAAAGTATTCATACAATAACCAATCTGGGAAAAAACAGGCTGTAGAAGCTCAAATGCAGAAATCCCCGTTCAAATTCGGACTGAGTATCTGGTTAGGAAGATCTTGTGACTGCACCATAAATCTGCTACAAGAATACGTTCAGATGTTTGTTCAAAGTGCACGTGGTGCCACACAGATTGAAGTCAGTAGCTTTATTTTCCCTGGCTTCAGAGGAAGGTCAAATTTTTGTGCGCGTGTGTGTGTGCCTGTCCCCATTTACAATTCACTATGACAATATTTTCCCATACAGTAAAACAGGAGAAAACTAAATTAATTCATGCTATTCTTTTAAGGGTAGCCAAAATACTAATCATGTATCTTTAAATAGATAATCCACCTGAGTTCAAGAGATGATACTTACACAGGCAGCAAAAATCCTCCTTTACTGTGTAACCTGCTAAAATATTGCTGTTGTATCTAGCCTTATTTTCATAGAAAGTGTCCAAGTCTGCTTCCTAGACCTGTCCAAATACAGAAAAACATTACACAGGCATCGCAACTGTTTAGGCATGACCCCACTTTGTAAGCACCAATCTCTTCCTGTGTAAAAGTCAAGCAGACTGTTTCACAAAATCAGTAAGACTATTTGAATTTAAGTTCTCCTAACTACTTCATTTCTTCACCAATGTATTTTAAAGAGTTAAGTAAAAAATGTTATAAAAGCAACTTTCTACTATTCAAGTAGCTCATTTTGTAATAAAATAGATTCAGAACCATCCATCAAATACTTTGCTAATTTTTTTGTTCCAGTTAAATGGTGGATAATTTTGTTTTTGTTTTGAGGTTCAATCAGGAGACTCTCCCTATTCAGCAAACCATTGAAATGTATTGTGATCAAAACTTCCTCAAGTAGGAGGAGATTAAAGATATTCCTCTGAATTGAGCACTTTAAGAAGGCTGATAACCCTAAACAGCATTGAGGAGGGGGCAAAAAAATGCAAAGCTGAGAGTTATCTGTAAAGCCCTGTGCATTTATGAGCTGTCAACCTGATCACAAATATGAACTATTTTACAAGAAAACTGTATGAAAAATGAAAATTATCATTTTTTCATATAAAATGTCATCTTGCTGTCACAACCAAGGACTTTTTCTTTAGAAAAGGGAAATTTTTCATTAAAAAACCAACACTTTCAGTTACTAATTTTTTCAATGAAGCATAACATTTTCTAGAGAAGACTGATTGCTGCTTACAAAAGAAACAGTTTTGCAGAAAATAAAATTTTCCACCAAAATCAGGGTAGTTTTACTCCTATTAATATAATTTTCTCATTCAGAAACCTCATTCTTTCCAGACTGAAGATTTCAGTCACGGTTAAATGCTTCCGCTGAGCTTTGCATAATATCTTCTGATGCTCAAAATACAGTTATGCTGTGAAGCCCTAAAAAGGCTAGGATGGTTATGAGGTCTAACTAAAAAGGAAAAAAAAAAAAAAAAAGCTTCTGTGGATCTCTGTGCTTCTGATTAGATCCTTTCCACTGTGCGATATAACCTTTTTAAAACCAAGTTGAGTATTTCTGTGCTATGCTCTAAGTTAGCAGTACAAACCTACTATAAATAATTCAGTGACTGAAAAGCAGGAAACAAAATATTTGGTAATTTATCATGCCTGCTGAGATTGAATTAACGCCACCTATCTGCTAAGAAGCCCTCCTTGCATCAAAAAAAAAAAAAAACAAACCCAAAAAAACCAAACTAAAACAGGGAACTAACTTTTCTTTCCTCCAATAGAAACATAATTTAGATATTATGACTGGTAGCCTGACACCTCATGCCTGCAGCATCCTGCATTTAGTTTTCAAAGGCTGTTTATCTTTTCAAGGAGGATCAGGGAAGAAAATTTTCTATTTGCTAAAATGCTTCTTCTGGCCATACAGGCTGTCAGGCTGTTTTACAATCTTTCCTTAAGAATGACAGATCTTTAATAAAAGAAGCAAAATTCACTACTGATTTAACTAACATATTTTCTGCCAGACAACATAAATATATTTTCTTAAAAAAAAAAGAAACAAAACCAAAAAAACCCAAAACATAAAAAGCCTTAAGCAAAACCAAATTTTCTTTCCGTAATTACAGAATCTACTTTTATTTCAGAATCTTAAATTTTCTTCCTTCCTTTGTTCTTAAAAGGGAAAGCATGAAAATATAAAATAGCCATTTGCATACTGTGTTAGGGCCTTTCCTTCTCTCTCATACCAGACTTTTGCAGCCACAAGCAAAACACCCATTTTCCCAGGAAATCCTTTTATGTCCACTGCTGTGAGACACACAAAGTGGATAAACCAAGTTTGTGTACTTCATGGGGTTTCAGTTTCTATATATTTCTTTCAATTATTTATAGAAAAGCTGCTGCTTTCACAGGTAGTAAGGGTAAGAGTGAGAAGAATATGCTTAAATCCCAGCACAAGGTTCAACATTGATAGCAGTTGAAATTATTTCTTGTTAAAGGTGATCTGACCCATTAAGGGAGGCCACCTACACCAGTGGGGAGCTCTGGGCCCCGTGGTGTTTCATATAGAGGACATTGTTTAATGTCCCGTAGTGCCCAAGCAGCAATCCAGACTATCCAGCACACTGTCAGGGAGCTACATTAAGCCTCCCCTCTAAACAATTCTTATTATTTCATTCAAATCACTGTGTTGACACAAGGATACGTGGATATTTCAGAAGATGGCAAAAACACGTTCACTAGTATACCAGACTGAATAACACAGTTCCCCTTTATGTTCCTCCCAAGTACACAAGAGGATTCCTTTGAATCTTGCAGATTTGTTTCAGTTCATGCTGAAAACAGCATTCAAAAAAACAAAGCTTCAAAACAGAGTTTATAGACTTACCTGGTCTAGAAGTGACTGGGGAAACATTTAGAGAGTTCTTTTTTTCCTACAGACACTATTCCTACAGATACAAGAAGGCAACTTTTGAATTTTCTGACATCCGTAAGTCAGAGGGATGTTAAGACTCCTGCACATTCAACCATGATCTGGGTTTTGTCTGTGTGTGTGAGTGAATTGTTTTCTGACAGGGCTGACTTCTCCCCTTGAATGCAAAAGTCTCCCCAAGACACACACCTCTACTCATTCTGGGCCAACCTGTCAGATCCTTTCGCATCATCCCTTTCTACTCATATAGCTCTTTCCAGACTGTATCTCTGGAAAAAGACAGGGAAAAACAAACCCCAAACCCCAGAAATTATTTATTTAATAACCTGGCCTTTATCGCTGAACCACTGAGGTGAGGAAGAACAGAGGCTTGGTTCCAGCAGCAGCCAAAGCAGTTTGGTGTCTGTTCATTGAGAGTGTGCTACACCAAAACGGGTGAAGGTTTCATCCTTTTTCACAGCTGATGGAAAAAGTTGTCTCTGAGTCATGATATAATCTGCACATTGATCTTGGAGAACTTTAACCCCATGCCATTCTCCAGTCAAGGAGGATTATGAAATTATAATCCCTCTGTCAGAATTAGATTAATTGAATTTGACTGCTAAGGTTCTTTGTCCTCTGGAATACAGGCCAAATCCTCTGGAGTGATATGTATGTCCCCAAAGCCTATAGATAATAACAGTAACACCTTTCAATATCTAGAAATTGTAACAGCTGTACAAAGAAAGATTTTTTTGTTGTTGTTTTCTTGAGGAAGCAACTCACAGTGTAGAAATATTTTTTGCAGTAAGTTTTCTACTTTAGGTAAGATCCTGGATAAAACCAAAAATGATTAAATAAGCAATGTGACCGCCCAGGACTGACATCGTAGATTCCCATAATAGAAGATTTGGGATCTAAGTCCAGCTATGCATCTTGCCCTGTATCCACAGATACGGGAATTGCTCTGGATTCATACATTATCTTATATTGACCCATAAGGCAAAAAAACAATACCTATTCCCTCAAACTGGGAAGTCAAAACCTAACCTCATGAATTTAACCTCACATAGTTGTAGAAACTGTTTACCTGTTTCAGCAGAAGAGGCAGATCAACTGTTGATAAATGCTTTTCCAAGGGCCAGATGTATTCAGTTATTTCTCACGCTGACCACAAAAGCATCTGATCCAACTTTTCATTACTTTCTTTTTTCTTTTTTTTTTTTTTATGCATCCCATAAATCTTTTGTTTTCTATTTTTGCACCAGGATCATCCATAAAGATGGTTTCACCTACCAGGAACGCATGGAGTTCAGACCCGTCATTTACAGTAACACAGTGCAGTCTATCCTGTCTATTGTGAAAGCAATGACCAATTTAGGAATCAGTTACGAAAACCCAGCTAGAATTGTGAGTATGACACCCTTTCTCTTGAAATGGGCATCAGAATACAATTTTTTGTAATATCACAGTAGAGACTAGTAGAACAAAGAGGGTCCAATGTTTGCTTTATGACAGTGGAAACTTAAGTACTGCTTGAGTTACATGTGACAAGATGTCCTTACTTAATTTTATTTTCTGAAGACTGATGCCTGAGGTCCAACCTTTGCATAAACTGCCATTTCATTTGTTACAAAAGAAATGTTCAACTTGCAAAGACATAAGAATGAGAAAAAAAATAAAAAACCCAAACCTTTTCTTAGCTGCTCAGTGACTTATTTATTGCTATTGGGAAATGTAATACGTATTTCCCTTTTATGAACAAATCTTGGGGCTCAGCCATGTAAGGAAGGGTCATGTAGACATATTTGGAATACTTCAGTTTGGCGTTGCTCCTGGAGCAGAGAGAGACTCCCCGTTGTACAGGAGCAGCACTGGCACATTGGCACTGCAGAGACGCGGAGTCTGACCTCCTCGACACAGTTAGCAATCCTACGCACAAGCACACTGAGGAAGAGCCGCAGTAAAGAACCCTGCTATCTTCTGGCAATCACGCTGAATTTTCAGGGACAGAAGTAAAGGAAAAACACATACCTTTCTTCTCAGTGCAATGATTTAGTCTGTTGCCTGTAATTCAGACCTTGCTGAGAATTTCTCAAAGGCCTGTCAGAATATCAGCTGGTTCCAGTTTTGGTAAATTCTGCCTATTCCCTAGAGGTTTATTGCATCTGCTTATCTGAAAAAGCTTTTCTTGTTCCAGAAGTCTACATTTCACTACAATGACATGTGGTACTTTGACCGAAAAAATGATAAACAAATCCTTGAAAGGTTACTGAAGCTCATATGGTCATCTGACAACACAGAAACTAAATGTTTTTTTACAGTGTTCTTTTAAGGCTCCATGAATGCAAGTCATTCAAGCAAACGTAATGGTGCCCAAAGGCAGCACACAGAAAATAGGCCCATGTGAATGTGCTGCTACTTGGTGCAGTGTCCTCAATTGTGATAGACACCATATGGACCCATCTACCAGTCCACATGGCTGAAGACAGGTGAACCTTGCCACAGCTACTCGCAGGTCCTGGCTCAGCCTCTAATATCCACTACCAGGTCCAGGCTCTGTTTGCCATCTATAACTGAGATGTGTTCTGCCTGTGCCCCAGTACTTCAGCCTCTTCTCTCAGCCCTACCAAACTTTCTGAGAGGTTAAAACATGTTTGCTCATCATCTATCATCTATGCCACTTTCACAGACATTATTTTCGAGGGATTTCACAGCCTGGGGAACTGGGAATTGAAAATTTTTGTTTAATAGCTCAGTTCACTTCTTAGCGTCATATACAACCAAAGGCAGAAAATACGGCTTTTGTAAGTTTATAATTTATAGCACAGTAAGCCCACTCCTACTGTCATTGGCAAAATAGGCCTCTAAGAATACAGTTGAATACACTTTCATAAAATATTTGCAGTGCCTGACTCCTTCTCCCCCACATAAGAACAACCTGGATGTGAGTTTTTAAGAAAACAGAAATTTTGGTCACAGTTATTTGAATCACTGCTAAACATTGCCCTCTCTTGCAAAAACAAACTTAGCTTACATTTTCTGTAAAATCATAAGCCATTTATAAGCTTGAGTTGTTTCGATACAAGCTTTGATTTCAGCTGGACTTTGTTCTTGATGTGTTCTGGTCAGATTTAGCTGCTTAAAGTCATTTAGCCCAAAGACTGGGCTTATCATAGGCCTGAAAGCAATGGGCTCATCCATGTTCCAGGACTGCCTGTAAATACCTCTAAGTGGTCCTGAGGGTGCCTCAGCACAAAATTTCGAACAACATCTGTTCAGGTGAGAGAGGTTTTTTTTTCTTCCTAAAGCGCTACTGCAATCTATTTTTAATATGCAAATCATCTGAACGCTGTCTAAATGCCAGAGAGAAATGAAATATTATATAAACCAGGGTTATGATAACCTCAATCTGCCGCTATCTTCCTTTTTTACGTAAGCATCAAAATCCACAGATGCCACCTTTTGCATAATAATCAATGAACCTTTACCATACACCTGGAGGGTCTGAGCTCAAGCCTTCTCACTGCAGGCTGTTCAACCAACAAATCCAACGTTGTAGGAGGATAGCCATAATCATTAAATGATATGTGATATCTTGAAGGAGAGAACATTCCAACTCTTATCTTGAAGCTGAACAAGTGTGCACCCTGGAGAACAGCCCTGGAGACAAACGAGGAGCAGACACGAGAAAGCATGACTCAGGTCTGCTGATCCCAGCACCGAGCCAGAGGATGGGAGTGTAGAACGGAATTGGTGGTGTTTAACGTAGAAGGGCAATTGTGCGCCTACCTTCCGTCCTCTTTCAAAGGCAATTCTCCAGTGGATATTTCTCCCCCCCCTTTTTTTTTTCCTTTTCTCCATGCTAATTCAATTTCTCCAATATTTTAGAAAACCTGCAGTGTTTCATTTTTGCTCGGTCTCTGACTTTTCCAAAGTTGCCATAAACCCCAATTTCTATTGAAAGGTATAGTGCACACCTAAAATACATTTGTTACACATTACTGTGTAGATGTTTTCTATTTTTGAGTAAAACATACTCCCTGCCAAAACAGTGCCTGTCAGAATCCATTTATACTTTTGCAACTATTGACTGCAAGTCACTTCAGTCGTCTACTTATACGGCTAGGAAGGAATTATATTCTATAATTATCCACTGCTGTGACAGTGTATCAAATGACCCTATTTTAATCGTGCTCTTTACTTACAGTACATTCCTAAGCTGTTAAACACTGAAAAGAAACATTTTTAATGTAATAGATTACTTGAAGTCTTTTTGGATTGACTGCAAAAGGAAGAAATTGCAGAATAACACATTTAAAGTATTTGGGATTTCGTTCAGTTACAGGTTTCTTCTTCTCAAAATGAAAAAAACATATAGGAAATGAATCCACTGGTTATATCCACTTTGCCACATTTCTCCTGTGGCCTAAAGCTAGATTTTTTTTCTTCCAAATACATTCAAAAATATATTTAGCCATATATTTCTGCTTTGATGTAGTTATAGTATGTTTAATCTTTAAATATCCTTTTTTATTTAGTTTTTGATACCCCACTACTCTCTCTTACAATAAAAGCCTTCCTTCCAAGTTGGACCTTTTGTGAACACCTATGGTAAGATGAAACTGAGCCCTTGTACGAACAAAAAAAAAAAAAAAAAACCAACAAAAAGAAGAAAACTGTGTATCGCAATTTCAGTCTAATCTTGCCCCTAACTAAAGGGAAGTGAGGTTGCAAAAGGATATTCACATGCACAGGCGAGTACAGCTCCCTGGAAAAATCTGTGAAAATCAGAAATTTTGCCCCTGCTAACTTATTGCAAACCAAGCACATCTTCAAGGAGGTGGAAGGGCACAGTGCGCTTCCACAATATTTACTGAAATTTCTCTTTAGGAAGATGAAAGGAAGCTGTGTGCCATGGCAACAACGCTGGAGGATGGCGACATGTCTTCTGAATTGGTTGAACTCATCAAACAAGTGTGGCGCGACGGCGGGACGCAGGCCTGCTTCGCAAGGGCGGCGGAGTACGAGCTCAACGACTCGGCAGCCTAGTAGGTGACACCAGCTGCAGCTGCTGCAGCGCTGGCTACTACCCCAACAGGCAGCACAGGAAGGCTTACCACAAGAACACCTCCTCACGCTACAAAAATTATTGCTCATTAACCTGAAATGAATGAGGTTTTTTGCTAATCTTAATAATATATCAGAAATTTTTAACTGAAGGAAACAAGTGAAAACACGTAACAACTTGTTTCTGTGAGTTTGTTTAAACTGTAAGAACCAAAAAGTCTATTATCTCTTGGTACTTCTAAGATTGACAAAATGAGGGAAAAGGTGAATTGAAACAGGTTTTACGGTTTTTTAGAGCTGTACTTTGGATGCATACATTTCAAGCTGTTAAACGTTAGTCTGGAGAAAACTATAAACACTTTCCTCTAAACTAACCCCGCCGCATGGATGGGTGCTCCCTGGGCCGTCACCATCTCAGCATCCAGCTGGTCTTGGCTGGATGAGACAATCTGAATAACAGAAAATCTCCCTTATGCCAATTTTGGCTGGAATTTGGTGCTACAGCTTCTCTCCAACCTGATGGCCCCAGTTCCCTGTCTGCGGCCTAGGAGGTGGCCGGGGACTAGGGCTGCTCAGGTCCCGCTCCAGGAAGGGTCACCATTCAGCTGGGGTACATCTCCCAGCTTAGATGTCAGTAAGCTTAGACTTTTCGGGAGTCCCTGGTTTGGTTGCTTCTACAGCTATTCTTGCAGGCTACAGTGGTCCTGCTCTGCTGTTTTCTCCCCAAGCTCATACATACAAGATGGAGAAGAGAGGTGTCACTTGGGTCAGAGTTTTCCTAGAGTGCGTAAGTCTCCAGACCTGGGGCAGAGGGTTGTTCCAGCTGAGGTCCATCTTCCAAGATCTGCAGCTGGAGGTTTCTCTGCTCCTGCAGCTCCTCCTACAGGCTGAAGGCACCTGCAGGGCGAAACCTCATGAGGTGTTGGGTGCCCCTTATACTGGGCAGGGCAAGGCACGATGGGAGACTGGGCCAGGAGCCAGGCAAACTGACAGCAGTAAAAGCCCACTAATTATGGAGAGTAGTAGGGATATACCATGAATATATTAAAAATTCTTTGTCTCTTTATATCTTCAAAACAAGAATGAAGACCTTTCTGCAAGATACCTAACCAAAGCAAATATTGCCTGTGTTGATTTGTGCCCAATTTGGCAGTATTTTATGGCAGACTTGTATTTCTACAGGAATAGTACAGAGCAATCTTTTGTCTCTTAACTTATCCTTTTAGACAGGCCACAGCGCAGTTCCCAGCACTAACAGCCCATAACAAGTCAGTCATCACAACTAAAAGGAAAAACACCAAAAAACACAAACAAAAATAACAATAAAAAAATGATGCAGAAAAAAAATATATATTGCCTGTTCACCAGGTAACATTCTAGTGCGTACATTCTGCCTGGCAGATTAGGTTTTGCTGCCTGAAAAGAGATCTAAAATAATTCCCTCTCGGTGTTATGGGCTGTGTCATGTTTTACCTGCAATAGGTTTCAGTATTAAGGGAGCTAGTACAGACTGTAAAGGAGCCAATAATCATTATTTATTGCTGGAGTTACATTAAAACAACAATGATAAGTTTTTCATCTGCTTGAACTCTTCCGAAAATCTTGTTAATCCTCTGTCTTCACCCTTCAGTACCTGATGGTCCTGAAAATCTAGCCTTTGACTCCGAACCATTAAAATCAACTTAATTTTTGCCCTTGCCGCTGGCCTCCTAATGATCAGTTCAAAACCAGCGAGAGACAATCAACCTTCTGATGCTACATTTCAATTTATTTTCAAACCAAACACCTGTTTCTCAGCTCCTGTGAATCAGCTCTTACACACAGTATTGATTTACTGTGTAAACTCTGAGGTTATCTTTCAGTCTTTTCATTATAAATTCATGCTAATGAAGTTTGATCATTGCCTTTCCCCTCTGTGTTTTAATTGAAAAAAGAACGAGACTGTCTGAATAACAGAAAATCTCCTGGCTGGAATTTCTTCTCTAGACTCACCTGGAATTAATCTTGTTTCAAGATGGAGTGATGGGTACAGAAGGGGCAAGATCAGGGTTATAAATCATGACTTCTTGCTTGCTCAGTCGTTTGCCTCTCAGGGTAGGATTCCTCTCACCTAATTCAAGCCAAGGAAAGCTCAGGCGTTTAGACCAACCTCCTAGTTTGCGTTCCCTCTTTTGCCAGTGGAGAGCCGGCTCGCAGAGGGTCCCCTTGGAGCTGCCGACAGCTCTAGGAAGAATCTGGAGATGCCTCTCTTGCTCCATTAACTAGATAATTAACCTGGCCAGATTGTTAATGCAATTACAATTGGCTGTGTTGAATTGAATTTAGGCATCTGTGACTGAGAACTATCAGATCTTTATAATGAATGTTATATAGAAGTGTTTACTTTAGTGCTTACATGTTTTATAAATTGCAAAATGTCTTTGTTTCAGCCTTCCACAAAGGTGAGTTAAGATGAGTTTGCCTCAGGCCCTACTCAGAGACCCAGAACTATATTGTTTGGATTTTTTTTTAAAACAGATTGTTTCCCGGACTCAAATAATGGGCAAACATTGCGTTACTCAGATCAACTTCAGCACTCCTTGCTGAGCAGATTCAGTCTATTCAATTTAAAATAAGAAAATCCCATTTGCAAGCATTACTGACAAATCTCCATATGTAAGATTCTAGCTTTTTTAAAGTTTATTTTATATAATTTCATTCCATTTTCTTTCATTTAATTTCATTTTTTTACTTACAGATGTATTAAATATTGTAGACAAGAATGATGAGCTGTGAGGTTTGTTTTGGTAGTCGTCTGGTTAAACTGAACAGCAGAATGTCATGCTGGGCAGACTTAGTGTTAGAGAAGAAAAAAAAAAAAAGGCATGAAGCCTAATAAACATTAGGAGACCATGTTTTGTGTGTCAGAGACAAGAGGCTACAAATGGAAAGGTACCAACTGTGACACCGAAAGCTTGGAAATTCTTCAACTTGTATGTGGTTTCTTCCTTTTCACTTTGTTCTTTGAATATTTGTAGTGAAAAGGTAGGAAGCTCCTCAGACATCACCTCTTCTTTTCCTTTTTTCAATTCGTAACCTCTTTACACAGATTCCCAGAACAGCCAGAGGGATTCATAGGTTCTGCCCAGCCATTTTGAGAAAGCTGTGTGCTCCTGGAAGAGATGGGAGAAGGGTTGGTGGTAGGACAAGAACAGGCTTCAAAGGTCTGGTTTGGATTTTCGTTTCATGCAGATTTTATCTCTATATGCCAGACATAAAACCAGATAATCCACTATTTTCCAGGGGGTTGTGGGAATACTAACCTAGGGGGTCCTCACCTTCATTGAAACTTCTGGTTTTGATTACAAAATTATTAATTTTTTTTTTAATTATCATGTACTTTCCTCTTGTAAACTGATAGGTGTGCAGGGAAAACAGCCCCTCAATGTGAATTCCTCCAAAATATTGCGCCCTCCCTTTCACTTAGGAAGGAAGGTACTGTTACAACAGGTCTGATAAGATGCAATAATTTCTAGTCAATCTACTTCTGAGAGACGTTTGCGGTTCTTCCCCTGTGGTGGCAATTTCCACTTGCTGAAAGCAAATGGACAAAACCCCTTTCCCGACAAGGTGGGGTTTTAGCATGCTTGAGGAAAACAAGGATTTTCCTGAACTGACATTTTCAGAAATATGTTTATTATATACAACTAAATTACACTTCTATATACAAGGGAAAAAAAAAAAGAAAAAAAGAAAGGCTCTGGATTGTGGATCTAGACTGTATAGTATTGTTTTTAAATGTGTAATTTACATAAAATATTTAAAAGCAGCTCAATATGAAATGATTCTGTAATGTTCATTTCACCTTTTGAATTCACCAACCACCGTTTCTTTTTACTCTTCTTAGTTATCTCAACGATTTGGACAGGTTAGCAAGGCCGGACTACGTGCCCAGTGAGCAGGATGTTTTGCACTCCCGAGTGAAAACAACTGGGATTATAGAGACTCAGTTTTCCTTCAAGGATTTGAACTTCAGGTACGAAAGCCATATTTGACAGTTTTCTGTGATATTGTCTTTCTTAAGTATTTCCTTTCAAAGGTATTGACCTATTATAATATTGGTAATCCCGTTGTGATATCCTTGAATCCCCTCTTATTGAATATTTTGAAACAGCCAAAAAAGCAAGATACTTTAGGACCAGTACTCCAACTTGAAGCATATAATGGACTGATGTTAAGAGATCTCAGAATATCGGGTTCTAAAAGACATTTTTACATATGTAAGTGTCTAAAAAGCATTATTTGTATCCTGCCATTTGAATAATTGTTTGTGACATTTATGAAATTTGCCTACCTAAATGTCCTTAACAGCATGCAAAACATTTGATGACTAGTAATTTGCATGCACTCTCAACCTTTCACTCTCTTCTTTTGAGAACAGAAATAACTGCTCTTAACACGGGAATGCATCACGGTTGGCAAAAAAAGATAATAATTCCTGTCCTGTGGGAAATTTCTGTATCAGCATGCATGTCTTCGTGCTCATTTAAGACAAAATCCTAAATGTTCAGGAAAAAATCTTGAAAATAATGTATCTGAGAAATTTGACTGAAAATAATTGATGATTTCAGATACTCACGATTTTATTATGCTTGGTGAAACAATTAAAAGCATCTAATTCCACATGAAAATGTATTTGAATGAATTATGGCAGTTTCATTGTTCTATAATGCTTTTCTCAATGGACTGAATTCCATTTAATTCTTAATTTAAAAGCTGGGCTGCATATTGAAGAATGTAGTCTAGAAAAGAAACTTCCTGTAGAGATAGATAGATCTATAAAGCATGAGGATTATAACTTTTACATGTTTCATTGGGCTTCTATTTTTCTCCTCATGCGGCAATTAAACATCCCCCAAACCATGTATGCTACCACGCAGACGCTTTGACACAACAGAGATTACATATACAAACTAGAATTCTGAAGCAGATGCTCTGCAAATAAATTATTATCACCTATTAATACAGTGATCACTTGTGAAAATTCAGGATTTACCCACTTACCACAGTGCAATGTCACAGACATCATCTTCTTCTCTGATTACAACATTTCCAGACAGCTTTGCACATTGGAAATCTGAGCACCTTCAGTTACAATCATAGTTTTATGTAAGAAATAAAATCAGAATGGAGAAAGAAATCACCAGAGTGCAAACCATCTTTGACAGGAATGTTACCACTGCTGATATTCCAACATCAGAATTAGTGTCTAGGTCCAACTGAAATGCAGCACAACTGAGAATTAAGTTACAAGAGGAAGGCTCCTAATGCCACCACGAACACAAAACTCACCGTGTTTAGCTTCTCTGCTATGCATCACAGTAGTGTTATGTGAGTAAATTCATTAGTGGTTTTAGGCACTTGAGTAATATGAGGTGAAATCACTACAAAATAGTTTGAGAGTTTTGAGCTGCTGTAGGGGATGCAGAGCAGCTATAAATCCATCTTAACTAGCCAGTTACTGCTACTTTGCATTGCCAGAGCAATGCAAAACAGCTGGGGGATCTTGATGACTCCACACTTAGGTTGATAAGTTCCATAGAAACATCTATAAAGAGAGGAACACTTCCACATTTAGAGTGAGTTTTGGTTGATGTACTTAAATGAGGCTTGGGGTCACAAGCCCTACATGGATAAAAAGAAAACATGAACAGATGCCTCATTCACTAAGCACTTGTCCCTCTTATGCACTGAGTGAGGCAGAAAACATTTTGTATCTGTGCAGTAAAAGTCGAACTCCCAGTACTGCTCCAGGGACCTGAAAACAGAAAACATCTCTCTTTATCTGCCATCTTCTTAGCAGTTACTTTGCTGATTTAGTGTAATTTAGCTTTCTTGAGGTCTTCAATTTATTTCACTAATGTTGACTTTGATTTCCAGAGCTCCGAACACTTAAGTATTTTTAAAAGAAGGTCTGGTCTTCTCCTGCTGTCATTTCCATTGATGTGCTCGGGAGAGTTTGACTGCAATCAGGCAAGCTTTCTTTTAGTCTTCAGGTCTCACTATATGTACCATTAGGACAAATGAACTTACAGCTAGTCCCATATCTGTAGCTAAATTTTCCAAGAGCAGTGCTGGGAAAATATAGAGCTTTCAAAACTAATTTTGACTGTCTTGGTAAAAGAAAAAGATCATCGCAGAAATACATTTTCTACCACTAACAGAGGGAATTCAGTTTTACATGTGCATATGTTAAGTTCTGGGCTGACACGAGAAAAGCTAAGCAAACAAAGGTTATTACAATGAAAACTGCCCATAAGCATTGCCTATGGCCTTGATCTTGTCCTATTTTAACTGACTTCTCATGAATATTCACAGGGCCATATGCTAAAAGCTTGAAGGAAGTGACTACAGATTCACATGATTATGTGTGCTTGTGAAACTTTACCACAGACTAAATTTTGAAGCTTTTTTCCCCCCTCATAACCCTGATTTCAGAGTTACATACCACAAATTCAGGAAGACACATAATAGTGGGTGACTTTTGCACACTAATCACAGCCAAAAGTCAAGATGCTTTATTCATACTGACCTCACTCTTCGGTAGGCATACGGAACTCTGTGAAGATATGTTTGGAAGAATGCCATTCCTGTTATAAACATCTTGTTCCACAACAGCTTCCCGATTCCCTAATAATTCACATTTATAGACACCCAATGATCAGACAAAGAGATGAGATGTACTAGGGAAAAAAATCATTTTCTCTAATTACTCCTCAGCTGCAGAAAGAGTTCATCACAAGAACTGGGAAGGGTTTCATTTCTTCTAAGCAGGATGAAAATTGATAAACAATAACCGTTGTTTCCGTCAGCTGCATTGCTGATGGTGAAGAAAGCAGGATCAATATACCGCAAAAAATGGTGTTCCAGCAACAAATTGTTCTCGCTGTTTTTATTACCGACATGATTTTCTCATACTGGATCCCAATATTTTCATTGCTATAAAAATTGAGTTGTGTTTAATTTTCAGATACTGCAGGAGACACATCCAGAGAATAAGATCTAATGCAGTTTCTTGAAAGAAGGGATAATGCAACAGGGGATTAGGTTTTACAGTTTTAAGTTCAACAACAGGCAGCACAGGGAAAAGTCATCATGCGCACAAGGAAACAGAATAAGTAAGAGTAGGATAAATTTGATTTTTTTATGTTTTTTCTCCTTTCTAATGCTCTTGAAAAATGTTCAAGTTTGGCAATTTTAATGCCGGAAAATAGTGAAAAGAAAGCCCTATCTCTTATCACTGAAGAAGTGCAAATATAAGCGGGAATTTTGAAAGCCAGTGCTAAGCAGAACAACAGTAGCTTTGATGACAGCTCCATTTCAGTTGGGTCCTAACTAGGGCCCGAAGTAGGTCCCAGCTAGGTATGCTCATTTGGCTTTGGACCTCATATAAAGAGTCCATAAAAAGTTCATGTGACTCTACCCAAAGGCAGTAATTTATGGCAAAGACTGAAGGAAATTAATGCAGAGGAGGACAGCCCTACATTTTCCTTTATACAGATGATGGGATTCCTGCTCCCCACGAACTGCTGCTTAAATAGCAACTAATGAGATTGATAGGGCTGAGACAACACCCCCCCCAACTGCATGCTGCAGGTTACACTGCTAGCTAAGTGATTGTGCCAAGGCAATTAATAGATGACTAAATATAGATCTACACCAGCCCATTAAACAACCAGCGGGTCAACCCGTGACCGGCTTCCAGTCATATGCCCTATTGATCAATGTGTCAGTTCACTGCAAGCGAAACTATGAACTAACAAAAGACTGTGGATTTGAGGGTCTTTTGTCAATGTTTCACATATGAATTCTGTCCTGAATAAACCCGCGCCCGCGGGGTACGTGCTGCACTGAGCTCTTACGCAGAGGCCCACTTCCTCAGCACTGAGTGCCACCTGAAAGTCCTGAATGTATTATATGCAGATATATAAACCTTCATTTTATGCCCACTACAAAGCCATAAGTGATGCACAGTACTCCTTGGCCAATATTTGGAAAAGCTGGATATTTGCTTGTCATTCATCTCTAGTTGCACTCTGCACATTAAGAGCATGACTACATGCTTATTAGTGCTTTACATTGTACATACGTTATCTTTTCTGCAAAGGATGTTTGATGTGGGTGGACAGCGATCAGAGAGAAAAAAGTGGATTCACTGCTTTGAGGGAGTTACTTGCATCATATTCTGTGCTGCACTCAGTGCCTATGACATGGTTCTGGTGGAAGATAAAGAAGTGGTGAGTCAGAAGAGACAAACAACCCTTTTTCCTGCTAAGTTTTAATGTAGTCTCTGATGGCATATCAGAACTATTCCTGTTCCCTGATAACCATTTAAAGGCCATTATGCTGTATTGGTTCTTGCCAGTAAAGAACATTACAGTAAAAATGACATATGGGGATGAGATTTGTCAGTCTCTCATGTTTACCTTTTGCATCTCAACAGAACAGAATGCATGAAAGCCTTCAGCTGTTCAACAGCATCTGCAACCACAAGTGTTTTGCAGCCACTTCCATTGTGCTGTTCCTAAACAAAAAAGACCTCTTTCGAGAGAAAATAGCAAAAGTTCATCTGAGTATCTGCTTTCCTGAGTATAGTGGTAAGTTTTGGAGTTTTCAGAAGAAAATACATTCAGATGATTAGTGCAGGCCGTGCATTAAAGACTGAGACTTTGACTCAGGTCACCTCTATATAACCATTTAAATACCAAGCATCTTATCTAAGCATCTAGCCTTTCTCTCAAAAGAATAGTATAGGACAGACACAGCCAGAATCCAATTCATCTCACCTATTCATCATGCTTAACCTAGGCTGGGGTCATCTTTCTCTGGAGATGCTTATTTCTCTCCGTTGGTGGGTACAAGAAGCTAAGAGAACGAAAAGTTTCAGATGGCTGAAGTGTGGTCTGATGAACCCAGCCAACATTTCACTACAAGTCAGTGGCTTATCACTCACACACACCATAATTGAATCTAAACTTTTTGTCCCTATTTTGAAAATCCATTCCATAAAGGAAGTCAGCCTCTTTTTGTATGTCACAGTAGCGTCTACTGGAAATAACAAGCAGCAGCTGTTCCCAGCTGATGCAAGAGAATATGTGAGACTATGTCAGAAAGTGACAGAGAAAAAACAAAATCTGTCGGCATTTTAGTATTAACCTAATGTATTTGGGATAGGGAGTGTCCAGAATGAAGCATACTTAAAGTAATATTATTATTAGAAGATGAGTTCTGTCCAGTTCCTGAAAACCAGCTCCTTCGCTCCCTTTCTCGGGACACAGCAACCCCAAATTGCTCAGTGCTTCACTGGGATAATCAAACACTGTGTGCTAGACTCAGGGGAGGGACGCTACTTTACGCTGCCTGAGGCTTCAGACAGGCTGGGAGCCAGCAAGGGCTCTCCGCAGCAGCCTGCCTCCAGGAGTCCCATCCCTCTCCCGACATTCAGCAGGTGTGCGATGCCATTGTTCACACCCGCTGCTGTTCTAAAGGAGTGCTGCCGAAAGGCGGAAAAGCTGCGCCAAGAAATTATGACTGAATATATAAGCATCTGAATTTTTCCCCTTTGTCCTTCTTCATTTCTTTATCTCTTAATTTTTGTACTTCCCACCAATTTTGTCTGCTATCTGCCCAATCCCCATTGAATTTATGCTCCTTCTGTTTTTCTTGTGTTTCTCTCACTTTCTGCCCTCTCTCTAAGGTCCTTAACTGTTTCACACTGACTTACTCAGGAGCATTTCACTTCAGAAATTAGGACTTCTGGTTAGGCATTGAAATTTAAATTTAGGTGGGCAGTTTAGATACAAAATTTTCATACCTAATGCATGAAGTTAATTCCCTTTAGAAAAAAAAACAAAAAAGAAAGAAAAAAAAAAAAGAAAACAAGAATTCTTGTTTCTTAGAAGCAGTGAGGAAGTACCAGCTGAAATGTATCTTCTCTTTCTTTTACTGTTCTCTCTGCTAGGACTAAATACATTTGAAGATGCTGGAAATTACATCAAGAAACAATTCCTAGACTTGAACATAAGGAAACAAGATAAAGAGATATATTCTCACTTGACGTGTGCCACAGACACCCAGAATGTCAAGTTTGTATTTGATGCAGTCACAGACATAATAATCAAAGAAAATCTGAAAGACTGTGGGCTTTTCTAGCCATCCATTCCCTTGCTCGCAGCCTGACTTCATCTCAGTCCACTTTCCTCTCTTCACCCTGTGTGCTGACTGAAATAAAAAAACTCTAGGGAAGAAACATCAATTAGGCTTTCGTTAGCTGTCAGCTAAAGCCTGGGGTATAGCCTGAGCATTGCAGACCAACGCTGACTTTCTGTATGTCATAAGAAGATTGAAAAAAATGTTCTGCTCCACAGAAATGCCAGTTGCTGACAAATCCTGCTGGAATCAAAGGGAAATTCCTATTTTAATAAATATGATTTGAAGGTAATCAGCACTTCCCAGGAAACTGGGGACACCTCAGTAGCCTGTGTTTTCTAGTGATGGGAAAAAAGGTGGTATATAACAGATAACTGACTTTTATTTATATTTGAAGCCTTAAGAAAGCCATAGCATTAAACAGTATCAATAGATAATTTCCATTCAGTACTCTTTTGTTTCATTTTACCTACGCAACTCAAAATGATGTAACATTAATTCAACAAAGGCAAACCCCCCAGACTTAACTGGTGTATGACAACAAGTAAATGTATGACAAAGTAAATATGCACATTTAATTATACTGTTTTGTTTGAAGAGCTGAGGTGCACATACATAAACACTCCACGTGTATAAAATTCACAAACACAGCTATCCAGTTTGGAAAAAACAAAACACAGTAAAATGGAGGCAAGTTTTTTGAAACTCTAAGGGTGAAAAAATATCATAGCAATTATCAGTTCCTGCATAGAGCACAAAGGCAAGTTGAAACATTTTTTTTTAACAATAAAAGATAAGACTTCTTTTTTTAATAATAATTAATAGTCCTGCTGCTGGACAGATTCTCCAGTGCCCTGTGACTGCAACAGTCGTTTCCACCAGTGCAGAGCAGATGGAAACCCACCAGACCTTGTGGCAAAAGTACATCCTTGGGACTTTGGCGCAGAGATCCATTCTTTATGCAGAGAACCTGCTAATGAAGAACTGCTCCCCTTTAACGCCTCCTGATTTACTGTGACTAGAACTACAGAAAATATTTAACTATGTTAAACAGAGTGGGAGTTCTAAATACATTCAACCGAATGTTGAAATTTGTTCTTGATACAACACTCACTTTTGAAATCTGATAACTGACAAAATGTTTCTTTTGCTTTTTTTTCTTTGTTTTGGGTTGGGTTTTTTTTTTTAATACATTGCAATCTAATTTTCACCATACGCTCACTGTGCTCTGGTTAATCTAATTATTGAAAACACTGTAATAGGCCACCTGGTCACTGAACACCAGAGCCCTGCAAGCTGTCCACATGAGCAAGGCCACTGGTGTGCACAGGTCTCCCAGCAGAAGTAGGAAGGGGACAGATAAAATGCATTTTGCGCTTTCTGGATTTCTATTGCTGCCTGAGCTGTAATGCTTCCTTTGATTAATTCCTTGTTTGTATTTAAAATAAGGGATTTTCAGCGTTAAGGTTTCTGGATTCATCTCCAGCAATAAATCTAACGTAAAACAAATAATTTGAGCTATGGTGACATCAACATTAATTTCTGGATGGCTTATAATTGTCTAGGTTGCAAGAGACCTTGAATATCATTGAGTCCAACCATCAACGTAACACTGCCAAAAACCACCACTAAACCATGTTCCTAAGCACCACGTCTACCCGACTTTTAAATACCTCCAGGGATGGCGATTCCACCACTTCCCTGGGCAGCCTGTTCCAGTGCTTAACAACCCTTTCCGTGAAGAACTTTTTCCTAACATCCAATCTAAACTTCCCCTGGCGTAACTTGAGGCCGTTTTCTCGCGTCCTATCACTTGTTACTTGGGAAAAGAGATGGACCCCCACCTCTCTACAACCTCCTTTCAGGTACCCGTACAGAGTGATAAGGTCTCCCCTCAGTCTCCTTCAGGCTAACCAACCCCAGTTCCCTCAGCCGCTCTTCATAAGACTTGTTCTCCAGACGCCTCATCAGCTTCGTTGCCCTTCTTTGGGCACACTCCAGAATCTCACTGTCTTTCTTGTATTGAGGGGCCCAAAACTGAACACAATACTCAAAGTGGGACCTCACCAGTGCCGAGTACAGGGGGGACGATCACTGCCCTAGTCCTGCTGGACACATTGTTCCTGATACAGGCCAGGATGCTGTTGGCTTTCTTGGCCACCTGGACACACTGCTGGCTCATATTCAGCCGGCTGCTGACCAACACATTGGTGAACATCACACAATGGTTAGAGTTGGAAGGGACCTTGAAGAACATCAAGTTCCAACCCCCCTGCCATGGGCAGGGACACCTCCCACTAGACCAGGTTGCCCAAGGCCACATCCAGCCTGGCCTTGAACACCTCCAGGGATGGAGCTTCCACAACTCCCCTGGGCAACCTGTTCCAGTGCTTTGCTACCCTCAAAGTGAAAAAATTCTTCCTAATATCTTATCTATATCTACCCCCTTCCAGTTTGAAGCCATTGCCCCTCATCGTTTCTCCACATGCCCTTGTAAAAAGTCCCTCTCCAGCTCTCTTGTAGTCCCTTTTAGGTACTGGAAGTCTGCTATAAGGTTTCCCTTCTCTTCTCCAGGCTGAACAACCCCAACTCTCTCAGCCTTTCCTCATAGGAGAGGTGCTCCAGCCCTTGGATCATCTTTGTGACTCTCCTCTGGACCCCCTCCAACAGGTCCATGTCTTTCCTATGTTGGGGGCCCCAGAGCTGGATGCAGTACTCCAGGTGGGGTCTCAGCAGAAGAGAGTAGAGGGGCAGAATCACCTCCCTTGACCTGCTGGCTACACTTCTGATGCAGCCCAGGATCCGGTTGGCCTTCTGGGCTGTGATCGCACATTGCTGGCTCATGTTGAGCTTCTCATCAATCAGCACACCCAGGTCCTTCTCCCAGCGATGCCCTCGATCCATAAATAATAGTAAAAACAATAAAAAATAAAAAATAATAATAAAAATAATAAAAGCCAAGGTCTGAAAGAAACAAATCCATGAACAAACACATCTCTCAAACGTATTCTTCAAGCAAGTGCCTAAGAAATGGGGCAGACTTTACACCGTAGCAGCAAAAATAGAGGTGAGACTGTACAGACTGGGTTTCCCGCTCCTGCTTTGAGGAGTTGGGACGGCCTAAATCTGCCCGATTTTCTGGCAAAGCAGTGACTGACACAAACACCGTGTGGGCTTTGCGAACC